AGAGAGAGAGAGAGAGAGAATGAAAGCTGAAAAAACACGGTCAGCAAGAAATAACAACAGACATCCAACACCACAAAATTCAACCGCGATTTTTATCTTAGCCTTCGGCGCATGGGCAGACTTTGTTTTATCGACATTTTCAAGCCATCAATTCAAACTGAGTAATGATATTTGTCTGTGCCATTTGAGAACATACAGTGAAACACAGAGCCGTAAAGCTCCATCTGCTATATGTTTTATTGTTGATGAGATCTTTTAACTCCTTGTCTATAACTGGGGTAGAAGCAAAGATCCTTGACCTGACTCTGATTAACCTTCAGCATTTTAACTCTTTTTGCACTTCGAATTATCAGAAAATAGTCAGAAGTTGTATTAAGTTGAAGAAAAGAGAAATGTTTTGTCACGGTTTGAGCCTGGAAGAGTTAAACAAGTATAACTGCGGGAGGTTGGACAACGCTAATGGTAGGCTCTACTTTTCTTTCTCTCTGTTGTCTCTGTCCGTTTGTCTTCTGTTTTTTCTTTCTTTTGCCTCTGTCTGTCTTCTGGGTTTTTTTCTGTTGTCTCTGTCTGTTTGTCTTCTGGGTTTTTTTTCTCTCTGTTGTCTCTGTCCGTTTATCTTCTGTTCTTTCTTTCTGTTGTCTCTGTCTGTCTGTCTGTCTGTCTTGCCCTTACCTTTCGTGAAATGGATGTTATTGTGTCGGTGCACTTTTCCTTACTCAAACAAACAAGTATGACAATAACCAAAACGAAAAATAAAAAACTATGTTGATAATATGTTTTTACAATATCTGAGAGTTATGTATGTTACATTTGAGAGAGAGAAGAGAGAGAGAGAGAGAGAGAGAGAGAGGAGGGAGAGAGGGAGAGAGAAAGAGAGAGAGAGAGAGAGACAGAGAGAGGCAGAGAGAGAGACAGAGAGTGACAGAGATTGAGAGACAGAGAGAAAGAGAGAGAAATAGAAAGAGATAAATAGAGAGAGTGAAAGAAAGAGAAAGAGGGAGATTGGAGAGGGGGGAGAGTAGTTCATACCCACGGACACCGTTTTTGTACGCTTGTGGGAGTGACCTTTTGCATCGTTATGCGTATATCGTTATGCGTATATCGTTATGCGTATATCGTTATGCATTAATGAAACGAGTGCATTTCTGTGTTGATGCCAAATCTTTGAATGTCGATATTGTGGTTAATCCACCCACAATTTTCCTCCTGGATCAATAGGTTTATGTCATGTCATCTCATCTCATCTCATCTCATCTCACCTTATCTCATCTTATCTTATCTTATCTATCTTATCTTATCTTATCTTATCTTATCTTTGTAGCGTGGTGTCCGTGAACTCTCTTTATGCCCGCCTACCATAGCTGTGTCGAAACCTGTAACAAATTATTTTTTTTTTAAGTTAAAGAAAAGAAATTCGAAGTTCGGTTCCAGATCTTTTCCACGTTTATATAGCTAGTCCGGGCTGAGAGGAATCCAGTGATCCAACAGACAAAAATACTCACAAAAAAAGACATCCCCATACGTGAATCAAGCTCATGTCTTTCGCATATAAAAGAGGGACACTTGTTCTCTGCATCACAGACTCTGGTTCAACGAGGGAGACAAAATATACGGGGAAATAATGATGCATCAGTTGCACCCCTAGCAGGGTAGTTGCGAAATTGTCGAAGTGATAAGGGTCTGTACATAACTATATAATATATATAT